AGTACAGGAAATGCATGGGGGGAGTAATGAAATAATGAAAATTCCCCCGATGCCATCAATGGGTTTGAAGCTGGCTTTAACTGGGCTTCCCTGTCAGCCAACCAACTTACACTACTTGTGTATAGACAACAGACAATTTGTTCGCCTAATTATCTGCAGAAATGTCCAATGGAATTCAATTACGAGTATTAAGTTATGTGCAGTAGTTGCTGCTAAAATTCCATTTAATTCATTTATCTAAAACGAAAACTCAATTAAATTCATTTTTACCCCTAAATGCACTTTAACAAAGCAATCGAATCGGTTTAAATCCTTCACACGTGTGTTACAAATTGTAATTCCGAAGAAGATTTTGAACAAGCGTTAAACGGAAAAGGATTTCCACACCGATGAACCAAAAACACACGTTCGTAGGCCATTCTTTTTGACTCTGAATACATTTAACAAATATTCATGGGTAATATAAATTCAGACAGTGCGGAGAACACAACAATTGCTTCTGGGTATTTGGTTTTCGGTGGAAAACTATAATTATTGCTTAGTGGAAATTCGACTATTGCCGTCCGCTGCAGTCCGGAAATGAGTTGCAGGAAACACAGGTTTAATCATTTATTCAATTTAGTTTCAATCTGGAAGTTCTGCGAGCACAGAACTCACTGCAAATGCAATTTCATTTTCACTTTCCTCGCCGGCCAAGCGGGGAACGATGTGAAAGTTCAGAGGGAAACCATTGCATGCATTCAATGGAGGCAATCGAGCATGCGATGTGGTTTTGCCATCAAGGCAAAGTGGAGACACCCTACAAGACAAGCCAAGGGTTAAGGGTCAGTTGGCTGCCAAGTGGGAGACGCAGAGAGAGTCACATCCCATCCCATCCCATCCGATTGCTGCTTGTTTTTACACAAGCCTAAGGACAAGCGTTGTTAAGGGCAACGCCATACACACACACAGACAACATGTATGTGTGAAGTAAGTTTTGCAACAGTTGGAATTAGGACTGGGTCTGACCTCGAGCCTCGTTTTATCGCACAACAAAAGTTCATTAGCATATTGGGTGGGTCGTCGGTGCTCAGACAGTGTATGCTGATTGCCATTTTGGAGCAATTCTCGTTTCGGCTCCCGAGACGGAAATGAAGAGAAATGAGCCAGCCACACATACGAACTGAATAATTAAAGAGAATTTCTTCATCTAATTTCAAACATGAAGCCGCGCAGTGCAAGGACTACCCAAATGCCGCCCCAACCTTGACATACGAAGATTAATCAATATGTTTTCATAGGTCAAAATATTAGTGCTTCCACTTGAAAATCTGTTAAGTTCTATCTACCGTTACTCACTTGCGTGTGTGGCTCAGCCGCAGAAGTGAGTGCTTCAGTGGTTCTTCTGTCTGCTCCTCTCAGGGTTTGGGCCAGCGACTAACGGTAAAGCTTCGTTGTGGAATGCAAGAGAACTGCTAGAAATAAACCAAGACCAATATTAATTAAAACTTTGAGTAAAAGAATGTTCAAACAATGGTTTCCCAGTATCAGCAAAAGCATTGTTAATCGATTCTTTCAACTTCATCTTTAAACCCCTTTCAACGCAATTGAGCACCGAACGAGACACACACTCGCACCCACACCCACACCCACACGCACACGCACCGTTCACACTTATCTTTGCCGCTGGCCATTAAACGTGAAGCCGCCAGCTGCTGCTTGTTTTCAGTTCCGTCAACTGATGCCCCTACGACTACTACTTAACTACTAGTTGTGGGTAACTCGCTTCAAGGTCCTAAATCTTAGCAATTTTTAAGTAATTGCTTAAACATAATTGATGAGAGAGCTAACCTACCAAGTGACAATGTCTTGTATAACTATTTATATCCGCAATTCAAAACAATTTCGAAACTTTCAAGGTCAGAGAACACACAGAGAAGATACCTGAATGCGGTCACACTCAATGCCCTAGACCTTGTTGGGCAGTGTCACCATCTCGGACACCACATCTCAGTCAGTAGAGGCACTTGTTGTAAATGATTAAGATACCTACACATATACACACATATATGTATGTACATTCAGCAATGCCAATGCAGTTTCAAGCACAGTTCCTAGCACAATATGGCAATCAGCTGTGCTAGAACGAGAGAGCGTGCACGCGAAAGCTTTCTCTCACGCCACTGAAGGCTTTTTGCTCTCTCGCTCTCTGTGTCTCTATTTTAATAAGCAAACACGTTGTTTGGGAACGCTCTTTTATCTTTAAGTTAATAAGCAAAAACGTGTTGAACGGTAAACGGTTAGCTGTTCTACATATACACAATATACATGTCATGTTCATGTCCATGCGTATATTTATATTTACTTCTCTCCGCAATTGTCTGTGTGTGTGTTAGTGTGTGTGTGTGTGTATCATGCGTAATAATTCCATGAGGGTTACGGGTTTCGTACACTTGAACTTACAGCTGTCTCCTGGCAAGTAAAAATAAACTGTTTATGCAGTTAAACAGCGCGTAGGTTGTGCTTTTTGGGCCCTGGAGCTCCAGTTTGCCACCTTTGGCCCGCAAAGAACACCCAACAACCCAGTCCCCTCCTCACCCCACACCACAGGTGACTCGAAAAGTACGCGTGTGCGTGTGGTGGGGGAGGCATTAATAATTCAACACTTCATCTGAGCGCGGACAGGGCATTATTTCATATTTGCAAATCCCTGTGAATTTCCAAATTGGAGCATCCGCCGTCCTACATCATTCACACAATGTACCACCACCCCCGCATCCAATTAGAGCACTCACAATCACTTTCACTGGCAATCGTCGTTTGCAATTTGAATTTCACACACTTTTGCTGCAGGTTAATCAATTACACTGATAACGCTGCTTCGCCTTTCGCCCTTCCACCTTCCCCTTTCCGTTGTCTCAACTCGGCCATTGTTCACGAGTCGCAACTCAGCACTCTTTTTGCGCGTTTGTTTACGGTCTACACTTACAAATTGCTTCGGCTTGCGTTGACTCCAAATCCGTATTGTTTCCTTGTGAAATTGGCAAATTTCCTTTCTCCGTTTTGTGCTGCTAAGTTTTGAATGTCCTGTAAAATTGCTACGCCTGATATAATTTTTCTGTTTGGGTACAAAATCTTATGCGTATTGAAATGAAACGGTGCAAAGTATGGAGTATGGGAAAACACGAGAAATGCCAAAAGAACCGTTCACTCGCAGCGGGCAGAAAAACTGTAACTGGCCTCCGCTTCCAAGTGAGTGTGCGATGCGAAGCGCTGATGGACCCATGTGCGGAGAGCATGCGCCCACCGCAAAGCGACTAACAGCAAAGCTTTCGCAACTTAACAGAGCAAAGCGAGTCTGTTGAGCCAAGATCAAATGTGCAGAGGCGAAGCTTTCTATGGTATTCAATTTAGAAATATAAATATAATTTCTATAAATCCGAAAGCTTCAAGAGCTGGCAAGACAAAAGCTCTCCGCAAGGTGAAAGCGTTCGCCACTCTGAATATTCACATACAGTGCTAGCGGATTCGCAGAATTGAAGAAAAATCCCACAGCGTCTTTATTATTTAATGGTTTTATTTATAGTACCTCACTTTAAAAATTACGTTATACCAATATTACATTAAATGTGGTTTGTTTCGTTTATTACATGGGTGTTGGATGTGTTCCATTTCTCTATTTCTCGGGGCCGTTACATAGATAGATTTTTTATTTTCTGGGGATTTTGTTTGCATGGGTTTACATTTATGGTTTTTATTTAATAGATATTTCTGTATACGCATATTTGATAATCCAAAATGTGCTATAATATTGAGTGGTTAAAGGTTACACTTATACGTTTAGTTAGCTTAGGGTTACGTGTAATATTTCATTTAGTTTTTAGTTTCCAGTGATCCATTTTCCCCATCGTTTTTTTTTTTTTTCAAGTTTCTGGGCATTTTTTTTAATTGCTCTTGCGGCAATTTTAACAATGTTATGATATTTTATGTGTGTTTTTTTTATTGTTGATTTAACTTTTGTATATGCTACTCGTACTTCATAATGCTGTCATTAATTTACAATGATATACAGTTTACAGTTTTGCTATAAAACACTTGTGAATCCAACTAAAGATAATAGGAATAGAATTAAATAATGTCGAGTATAAGGTAAGCATATTGCATTCAGTTCTACGGATCTATAACTCTAAAATAAATTAGTTTGCAACTTTGATTCTCAATTTCCACATATGTACCTCTCCCTTTTGGTTTCTCTAACCACTAATAAAACTATATTTAAATGTATTTACAGATTGTTTCCACCACGCGCTCTCCTCTCCGGAATCGCCTAAACTGAGATGAAACCAAAAATAGTCCAAGTTACTATTATTATTATGTCATCAAGTACTCATATTCATATTCATTTTCGGTTGAATTTTGGATTTCTACATACATATTTACGCTACTGGAAGTTATCATACATTTGATTTTATTTTTTATATTTTTTTTTAGTTTTTAAATTGTTTATCTTACGTTTCTTGCAGATGTTGGTGGAAAGTTGTTTTATCTCACTAAAGATTTACACAAATAATATTTCCAAGTGGCATTCTAACGTTGCCTGAAAGAGAAACTATTTCAAATTTTCTATGCAGAAATATGGGTTTATTTTTACTCTCTTTAATTTTTGTGTCTGCTGATACTAAACTAGAAATTTTATACTTCACTTTGAGGACTCCAACTACATACATACATATATGTACATAATTGTGGAGGTGTGTATTTATTTATTGGTTGTTTTCTCTTACATACTCTCGACTGCGTTTGCGATGTGTTGGCAAAGTTCTACTGTGTCCACTTATGATTTTTGTTTGTTTTGTTTATCAAAAATACATTTTATTTCACGTGTTACTTCAATTCTACATTATGTATTTTCTACGTATCCTAAATTCAATTTGAAATCAAATCAAAATAAAATGTTGTGGCTTCAGGGCGTTTCCGTAAAATTCATATAACTTTCTTTCTGATTTGCATCTGGGTTGATTTTTGTTTCCTTTTCCTTTGTCGCTACACGCTAATGAGTTTAATTGCTAGGACCTTGATAATTTGGTTTAATTCTATTTTAAGGTATTTAATCTTTCCTTCCCTCGCTCTCAACACGGTATGGTATAAAGCATTTGATTTGATTCAAGTGTTTCTGTTTCTTTGCTCTTTTCGATATTGTTTTGGGCTTTTGGCTATACGGTCGGGTCGGTCTTCACCATTTCACGGCGCACTTTCAGTCTCACACTAAGCGAAAATTATGATAGTTGATGTGTTTGTGTGTGTGTTTGTTTGTGTCAGGGGAGGAGGGGATAACTAGAATCAGAATTCTGCTACTTTTTTCCTTACACCTACGCCTGACCCTCATTCAAAGTTTTCCGAATGGTTACAAGTCCAAATTATAAACATATACATATATTATATATACATTTATATCTGTATCTATATGTGTACGTACATTTATGCATATATTTTATGTCCACTAAAAACAGACTACTCTTCAAGCCGCCAAACTAAAAACACCAAAAAGAAACTAATTCATTAACTTTCGAGTCTAGGGCAAAGCAAAATTCATGTTTCCTGTACGATCTATATATCTATATCTTTCTTTCTCTCTAGGGTCTGCTTAAACGGCTAGAACAAAAGGACTTTGAGAACCTACAGCTATTTAACTATGTTCCGTATATTGTAGATAAAGCATATTTCTTTCTCATTATATTTACATTTTATACACATCTCAATTGTGTAAATTTACTGTCCAAATCTAGCTAATCGTATTTGTGATTGGATTTGATTGGATTGAATTGGATTGGATTACTCTTGGGAAGTTTGAAATGGAGTTTTTTCCGACTGCTGCTGCTACCCCTAACTCGTTCTATGGTTTGGACATTAGCAAATGAAACTGCATCAGCTTGCGCTTCCAGTGCTTATAATTAAATCTAAATTTGATGTCCTCGGACTTGGCCACGCCGGCAATCGTTTTTATATCCTCCCCATCATGTTCCTGCTCCTGCTCCTGCTCCTGCACCTGCCACCGAGGCTGATCCTGCTTTCAACGCTTTTGTTTGGACGATTTCTTGCGCTTGCTGGTGCCAGTTGCTGCCGCTGCTGCTGTGGCCATGCCTGTGACTGTGGCTGGAGGTGCGCCAGCCGGTCCGCTGACCAACGCTGATATGCTGGCAAAGGGCGTAGTACTGGGCGTGGTGGTGCTGGTGCTAGAGCCACCACAACCTCCAACTGCTGCTCCTCCTATTCCACCGGTGCTGCCCATTATTGCCGCAGCATGCAGTGATTCTCAACTACGCTCGGGCGTGCCATGGTGCTGATAGATCTGCTGAAGCTGCTGCTGCTGCTGTTGCTGCTGTTGCTGTTGGCTATGCACCACCTGGCTGCTTGACGTTACCACGTCCTGTTGCATGTGCTGCGGATGGTGGCCCTGATGCGGCGACTGCTGTTGCTGCATGTGCACCACATGCTGCTGCATATGCTGCGGCGTTGGCGGCCCCTGAGACGAGCTGTGATGCTGCGGTGTGCTATGATGCTGCGGCGTTGCCGGATGCGGCGATGGACTGTACGGGAACTGTTGCTGCAACATATGCATCTTTTGCATAAATAAATCAATTGTTAATTCAATTTATGTGTTAGTCAAAGCGTAAGTGTGTGACTGAGCGTGAGAGTGGGAGCTACATACCGAATTCTCCTGACTGTGCTCGATAATCTCAATGCTGCCCGTGGTGTTGCCCGAGGTGTTCATCAGCGATACGCCGCTTGTGTTTGCCACCACATCGTACTTGCCACGCTTGAAGCGGCCGTACAGCGAGCTGTAGGGCAGGTTGTAATGGATGGCCGCCTGGTTGATGGACATTTGGCCAACCCTGTGGAAGTAATTTGACAATTAGTTGGCCCCGAGAGCATTCAGATCTAATCAAATACTTACCGCACTGAGTTGAGGGCCTCGTTCATGGCATCCTCGGACCATGGTGTGGGATTCGAGCGCGACAGCTCAATGCCCTCCCGCTTGCAGCGTCCGTAAAGTGTTCCTTTGTGGCAGTGAATTGAATTTGGAGTGGAGGGAGAGAATGGGATTAGTTTTGGGAATGCCCAGACGAATGGATTCAAGACGAGAGCGAAGAAGACAATCATCAGAGAAGAAAGCAACGACGAGAACAACAACAATTCGATGCAGATGGATTTGAATTCCTTTCCCATTTGGATTTCGAGTTCGATTTTGGTTTTTTTTTTTTTGGGTCCGACTCACCTGTGGGTATGCCAAACTCAGCGCTGGCTTTCTGTACAGAGGTATTACCCGCCCGGATCGCCTCCAATGCACGCTCCAAGTCCTCGGGCGTCCACGTGGTTGGTGCGGCATTGAATGGCGCCGCCAGGCGGATGCCCTCACGACGCGCTATCTTGTAGAGCGTCGATGAGGGTATGCCAAAGGCTTTCGATGCCTTATTGGCGGATATTTGGCCCGAACGTAACGCCTCCAAGGCATTCTGCAGGGCATCCTCGTTCCATGACTTGGTGCCGCCCTCCTTCTTGGGCGTTTCGATGCCCAAACGATGAGCACGCTGCCAGAGGGTGGTCGATGGGATGCCATAAATGGCAGATGCTTTCGTCAGGCTCATGTTTTGATTCTTTAATGCATCTAAAGCTGAATTCATATCATCTTGTGTCCAAGCTTTGGGACCATTAAACTGACCTTTCTCGCCAGAGCCAGAGCCAGTCCCACCACCCATGCCCCCACCACCACCAGCACCACCGGGGCCGCAAACGCTGCCACCCAGCCCGCCTCCATGCTGCTGATCCAAGTTCGTATAGTGCGGCTCCTTCTGATCGTGCGGCGAACCATTCGCGATCATCATCGAATCCTCGCTCGTATCCGAATTGTACATATCTACACGAGGACAAAGGGGGGAAGAAGCTCATCAATAAAGGATCGTTCAAAGAGTTCTATTTTCTGTTGTTGCCACTCACCCATATGCCCTGAGGACATCATGTTGACAATCTCCGGCGTTATAATCATTCCAGGCTCATGCTTTATTTGGCTCGGATCAATCTCCATGACAGTTGCCCCACTGATCTCCGCGTGCGTCACATGCCCACCATGTTGGGCGTGCACAGCTGCCGCAGCCGCAGCCGCCGCCTGCTGCTGTTGCTGTTGCTGTTGCTGCTGGTGATGCTGCTGCTGTTGCTGCTGATGCTGCTGTTGTTGCTGCTGCTGCTGCTGCTGCTGCTGTTGGGCCTGACTTTGGGCCATCAGCTGCTGGGCATGGAGGTGTTGCTGCTGCTGCTGCTGCTGCTGTTGCTGCTGCTGCTGCTGTGCCTGATGATGGGCATGCTGCTGCTGGGCGTGGGAGATCGCATGCTGCTGGGCAGCCGCCAGATGCTTGGCATCGATCACCTCGCTCTTGATGTGCTGCACGAGGTTCGAGTTGCTCTCGTCCCCGGTATGATGATGGGCTATCGAATGCATGGGAGATTGATCGAGTCGATGGATCTGCTGCGCCAAATGATTGTCAATGTCGAGCGGTTCGGTGGGATCTAAACAAAGCAAAGAGAGCGGTGGAGCGGTTAGCTTTGATCGAATCGAAATGGTGTAGAGAATCCCAGTAGCTTTCAATCTACAATACCAATAACTCACTTGATAGATCGCGTGTGTCCGTGCTGGGGTTGCACGAGAGGTCGACGTGCTCCGTAACGGTGACTGGTGTGGCAGATGGTGCTGGTGGCTCGGGTGTGAAGTCCAGGAATCCCATGGGCACGCCTAGCAGGCCTCCGTTCTGCATGCAATCAAGATTCGTATACAAAAGAGAGGAAACAACGTTAGGGATGGTGTGGAAAATGCAAGGAGGGGACTTGATCTGATCTGGACTGGACTGAACAGGACAGGACAGGACAGGACAGGGCTGGGTCTGCGGTTTGTCTATTGCCTAATTGAAGGGATCGCCTGCTATCCCTCTATCTGGGTTGCAGGAAAGAGACTGAGGCTGAGGCTGAGGCAGAGGCTGAGGCTGAGTGCTAAGACGGAGACTTGAACGTTGAGACGGCGACACACTTACCATGCCCATGCCTAAACTAGTCATATTTTTTGTATCTTTTCCGTCGCGCGCTACTACAATTTGTGTGACGATGGCTTGGCCCGCTGAGGTCACTCCGCCGCTCACGCCCGTTGCATTGTTCGAGTGGCTGGACGAGTTGGACGATGGCGAGGCCAGCGATTGCTCTGTCTTGCAGATTTTGCTCGGCTTGCTCTCGTGCTCGTGCTCGTGTTCGTGGGAGTGTGAAAGATTGTGTGAGTGATCGTGGGAGTGGTCGTGATCGTGATCGTGATCGTGATCCACGTCCGACTCGTCACCGGTGCCCGGCACGGGTATATAATTGCCCTCGGCCGTCTGCTGTAGGCTCACAATGGATGTCTGATTCTGGCCCTGTATGAGCAGCGTCTGCGAGTGATGATGCGCCGGCTGTGGCTGCTGGGAGACGCCGCTGCTGCTGCCGCTGGCGCTGCCTCCGACCAGCTGTAGATCCGGAGACTTGGATCGCTTGAGTCGCGACTTGCGCGTCGTCGGCTGGAGCCCGGACTGTGACTGCAAGCTGCCAGCCCCGCTGCCGCTGCTACCACTCGCTGTCGTGCTGAGCAGCTGTCCACCCAAAGGTACACTGCCGCCACTGGCCACTCCGTGTTGGGTCAACAAAGCGTTGATTTGTTGCTGCTGCTGATGCTGCTGGGCATGCACCTGCTGCTGTTGCTGTTGCTGTTGCTGCTGCTGTTGTTGCTCCTGTTCGTGGGCCTGGGCCTGCGCTTGGGCCTGTTGGTGGTGCTGATGGTGCTGCTGCTCGAGCGAGGGTGAGGCTGCTCCACCCGGCACTATGCTGGGATTCACAATGCTGCCCACGACTGCCTGCTGTATGTTCTCCGACACGGTTATTGTCGCTGTGGCCGCGTCGTTCAAATCATCAGCGTTTTCCGCTGTCTCACAGAGGCCTTTGATCTTCAGTTGTTCGGCGGTGCGCAAGAGGCCCTGGAAGACAAAAAACAAAAGGAAAAACGGCCATGAGTAATCCGTTTGAAGACTTCTGCTGATATATGTATGTAGATCCCTGCCAACAACAACAAATAAAAACTGTAATCCAAGACAGATTTGATTGAAAAATCAGCCTACTGCTGAGTTAGGTTGAAAACTGAAAGAGTTCCAAGAACCGCGCCCATAACACACACCACACAATATACCCCCAGCCCAGAGCCCAGAGTATATATAAGGCAGAGCTTAGGTGATGGAAATTCGCCTGCTTGCCGCTCCCTTCTCCCCACTGTCTCTCTGTGTTTGTCCATGGTACGACGTTCTGTGACAGTCATTACGGCGTCGCTTGTCTTGGCATGGTCACCAGTAGTGTCCACAGTCCGCAGCCCAATTCCAACAACACTTTCGCCACTGCCACTGCCAATGCCAACGCCCACCCAGCACACCCTCTCGCAGTCCCAATGCGCTGCAGTTGGCAGTCGCCGCAGCAATTGGACAGACAAATATTTACTTCACAAGTTTTTTCCTTTAAGCACTGCGCAAGCGGACGAGGTGGCCCATCTCAGAGCCCTGCCTGCCGCCGCCGCTCTCATCCATTTATACATTTTTTTTTCCATGCTTCGCATTTTAAATTAAAAATACGGAAAAAACACTACGCCGCACACGCACACTCCCAACTCCCACTCCGTAGAAGAAATGCTGAAGAAAAAATTCTTATTACCGCCTTTCGGGCAGGGGGGGTTGGATTGGGTTGGAGCTTGGGTTCTGTGGGGATGGCTGGGCATGGAGTGAAGTGGAGGCCTGGGGTCTGGTCTCCTTGCGAAACAGAAAAGAAATTAAGGCAAAAATTGAGTAGGTTGAAATTTGTGTACCCGTTCTTTCGGTTCGCTCAAGCCGCAAAGAAATGACACCCACCCCCCCCCCCACCCCCCTCCCTTGGGCCATCGTCCAGTTTGTGTGTTTTAAAAAAAAAAAAATCTTTTCTTCTTCGACAGAAAAGTGAAAAAAAAAAAAGTTCCAAGAAGAGGAGGTGGGTGCGGGTGCGGTGGCGATGTGCAGATGAAGAATCCTTCGAATAAATGAAAGAAAAATTGTCTTCAGCTCTGTAGATGCAAATGGCAGGCGCCGGAAACGGAACTACAGCGCAGGCGAGGGTGGGTGGGTGAGGGGGGAAAGGGAGGAATGTCGGCAAAAAGGATGCATGATTGCTTTCATGGGTATGTGTGTGTGTGTGTGTGTGTGTGTGGATGAAGGGTTCGGACTGTGGTTTCTGTTGCTGCCACTGCCATTTGCTCTGCTCATCAACGCCAAGGCATTCCCCACTTCCTGCCCGCCCTCCTTTAGCTTATTTATTTAAGTTGAGCAAAAAATAAAATTATTAAAAATAAAAAGTACATAACAAATTTACGCAACTTTTTGCAGCTCTGTGTGCCCTGACCAGCGAAGGAAAACGCGAGCAACGGTACGGGGGGACGGAGAGAGGGGAAACGGAATTAAGAAGGAGAGAAAAAGAGTTCGGCACAGAAATTTAAATAAATTGTGGCAAGGAGGGAGCAGGAGCTGGGAAGGTGCGCGAACTCAAGGCGAGCGAACCCAATCCTTTCCTGTCCTCCTCCATCTCCTTGGCACATTTCCTTTTTTCTCTTTTGCTCGCCTCTTTGGTGAATTTTCTTGTTTTTAATTACGACAACGACAGGCAGGGCAGGGGGATGCAGGACTCAGGGAGAGCGCTCTCTAATGGCCAGGAGGGACACAAGCAGGACACCCAGGACAGCTCACTAGAACGAGTCTTCGCTGGACACTGCTCCGGGTCTTATGTAAAGCAATACGATGAAGGCAGAACACAACTACAAACAAAAAAGGGCTGCTGCGTGCAAAAGGTCTTGAGGAAAATGCGAAAAAAATCGGCATTTAGGCAGGAGTAGGGTGTAGGGAGTGGGGAGCGGGGAGCAGCAGGTATTTACTCGCACAGGGTGCAGCAGCTAACCCAAAAGAAAAACAGCAACACCAGCAAAAAGCCAGGGAAAGCAAAGAAAAATCAGTGTCCCTCCGCCCTCTGATAATCTCCGCCCAGCCCCGTACTCACTGCAAAATTCCAATTAAAAACTCTTCATGCGCTAAAGTCAAATCAAAGAGAGATGCTGGTGGAAGAGGTAGTTAGAGGAAGTGCTGGTGCTGATGCTGATGCTAACGCAATTAGTGCATGAAAATAAAGCGTCAATGCTGCGTATGAGTGATATATGGCTTAAGTGACACCCAGAACCCCAACGCCAGCTCCACTGCAGTGTCCAGCCACGCCACTGTCATCCAACAACAAAGCGACGCATCCAATAGCTAGTAGTAAAAGAGAGGAAAGAATCTGTCTAATCCAGAGCTGTGGCCTGGCCGTGGAAAAGCCAAAGCCATGTGAACCTCAGCCAGTGGCAGTGCCAGTGCCAGTGACATCGTACGCTGAGGCTGTACACATTTCCTTTCATTCCTTTTTCTTACTGTAATTGAAACTATGATTCAATATTTCTGTATCTGCTAGCCCTTTAGCAACAGTTTTCTATATTTTGTACAGGTACAGTCACAGCAAAAACACCCAAACAAAATCGATAATTACTAATGTAACTAAATACAATTAAAGCGCACAAAAAAAACACAGAGTGAGTATCGCGGCAGCGACAAATGGACGGAGGTAAGGGAACGGGCACACAACAGCAGCAACAACAACAACAACAACTGAAGCGGTGGAAAACCAAAAAAAAAAAAGTAGCAAAAAAATCGGTGGAAAATGCGCTTACTTACAGCCCAGTTGGCAAATGGGCAACCCAGGCAGGATGCTGGCCCACATCCCCAACCACTCGCCCGCGCACTCGCCTTTTTTTCTGCCCTGCCCTGCCCTGCCCTGCCCCTGTCGAGGACTAGGACTATCAAAGACAATGGCGGCACATTCAAGGGTTTAAAATTTCACCATTTGCATTTTTTGCCACCACCACACCGCCTATCCGACCCACAGAGCACCCTCTGCCTCCCAGTAATTTCATTTCATTTACCATTTTTTTTGTCCCCCATCTTCTTTATCTTCCTATCATTATTATTTTTTGTCGCTTTTTGTCTTTTCGGTTGTTTTGTTGCTTTCATTTTCTTGGCTGCATGCATTTGTCATTGAAGTTGGGGGTATTTGTTGGAGTCGAATTCGTAGCTTGATTAAATGCCCATTGAAGATGAATGAATTCTTGTCGCAACGCGAGAAAAAATTACTTCCCAGTGGAACTGGAGCACGTTGCCCAATTTATCTGTATCGGGATTTCGAGCATCGCCCATCTAAGGGTTGCTTTTGAAGGCAGCAAAATAATTGCCGCTGCTGGGACGCATGCAAATCTCATCCTCCAGCAATAAAGGAGGCAGGATGAAGCTGAAGCAAATACTAGCGGAAGAAGGTCATCCGTGTGTAGATTTTGTTGCATATTAACACGTTTCCAGAGAGCTCTCCACCAGCTACTTTCCCAGTTGGAGTTTTCAAGTCTAAACAATTAATGCCACACCCCCAAGGGTTGTTTTCTAATATGTAAATTCACTTGCGGGTCAAATATCGATCGCAAAACTTCTCAAAATAATTATGTTGTCCCCCCTCCTTCTGCGCCACGGTCCCTGCCCTGACCAAGATGGTTTCGCTTTTTGGATATTTACCTGCAACGAGACGAAAGAAAAGAGAAAATTAGCAAATTGGCAAAAATGTATAATTAATTATTGATAAAAAAACTACCAAAATATTTATGATTGTGTATAAAACAGAAATAATAATAATACAAGAAATAATATTTAAAGAATCCCAAGGAAGAGGGGGGCAGGGCAAACTTTTCGAAAGCGGAACCAAACCAGTCTCTGGCTTTGCCTCTGGCTCCGTTCAGCGGTGGAGTGTTGTTGGTTGATCATCGATGAGAAACCAAAATGGAGTCATGCCAGCAGCAGCAGCAACCACACAACAACGTTAACAACTTCAACTAATTGCCTAACCAAACGATACATACAAATTGTACATAACCACAGATACACACGCGCAAATTAATACAAAAAATCACACGCAAATTACTGATAATTGAGTGAAAATTTCAACAAATCAAACTCATTGCTGGGAAAATGGTTTCTGCTGCATTAGTGGAAAATCAAACTCTAACTAGAGCTGCACCCCCCCCACTCAGAGTTGTGTTTTTGGTGAAGTTCAAAGGAAATTTACTTACTAAAAAATAAGAATAAAATAAAATGAAGTTGGGAGGGGAGGGGAGGGGAGGGGCAAATAAAAGCAAATTGGTGCGCAAGTAAATTACGAAATTGCTTCAGAGACTCACACGCCAGCTAGAGAGGAGGAGAGAGAAAGAGAGTGACAGACGGACGCTTCCACCGAAAAAGCAAAGAGGAAAAAAACCAAAGCCAAAGCCAAAGCCAAAGCAAGAGAAATAATCAAATATTCGCCAACAGCAAAAGTTTATTGAACTTTTTCGACATTTCTTTGCTGGCTTTTATTATTTCTTCATTATGTTGTTGTTGCTGTTGCTGCTTGGCTAAGGTGTCCGACAATGTTATAAAACCAACAAACAACAAAGATAACAAACGCATATTAATGAGCTTCGCATGGAACGCGGAGTTCGTGTGAGTGCGCGTGGCTTTTGGCAGCCAATTAACAGACCAAAGAAAGAGTATTGGAAACTGAGAATATAAATATTTTTTATCTCGGGATATTAGTAGTTGCTATCAACTCTGCTAAGCGTCGTGAAGCTTTCAATTATTTCATACGCAGAGAGAGAGAGAGAGCAGAGGGAACATCCATGCCCAAGCGACCTTCAATCATAAAGAGAGATAGACAAGATACAACAAATATGAGAGCAAATGCACTTTTGGGCTTGACTCTCTCACTCTTTCACACACACACACACACACACACGCACAGGCAAAGAGCGTGGAAATGTATGAATGAACGGCACTCACTACAGCTCTCCCACTCACTCCCACCCCTT